GATACATTACAAAGGCGTATCCCATTATGGTGTAAATGTTATCTCCAAATTTATCTGAAACTACTCGGAGTGATAGGTAGGTAACCATTTAATTTAAGAAAAAATGGGTTCAAAATTGACGAAAGTAGGATAGTAGAGCTTGAAAATCACATACAAACATTTAATTTAAGAATAATTGACAACCATGTTTATTTTTACCAAATAACAAATTATAGGTACATTACAAAGGCGTAGGCTTGGGCAAAAATATCGAAATATCGATATGATATTTTAAATAACGATATATCGATATTTATTTTAGAGTATCGAATTCGTATCAATTTCGATATATTTTTAAATGTTGTATTGATGACAAGACATGTAACAACAAAAGGAGGTACAAAAGTATTCATGTGTAGTTGGTTGTCGTTTTTTTTCGTCCTCCAACCGTTAGTAATATAAAATTTTGGATCTTATCTTTACATCATGCAAATGATGACGATATATCGATATTTATCACGCGATATATATCGATACTGTTTAAAATTATATATCGATTCGATATATATCGATTTTTTTCACTTGCGCATCCCTAGAAAGGCGTCGCCAAGGGGGGTCAAGTAAGATCACTAGTCCCCCCCACCCGACTAGACTAAAAAAAATTTAATCAAATGCAAAGTAACCAGTCTTATTTATTGTAGAGTCTAGAGCTCGTAATTTTACACATTGGAATCTATGCCGTTCTTATTACAATCGCCGTCGAGGTAAGACTCCCAAGAAAAGTTCAAAGCTTTCCATCCTCTATAAAATATAAATCAATTTGCCTTCCCCCTATCTGCCTGCAACGCCCTTGGTACATTAAGCTGAACGCACATTTGTCCGCGCCGTACGCGCCGAATTTTAGAATTCGTTGTATGAAATCATATGAAACCTCGCACATTACATCCGCACCGTACGCGCCGAATTTTATAAAATGCGGTAGGTATACGATATCGAAGGACGAATGCTGATGACGTCATATAACGCAGCGCGTCGTGTAGTGGCGGTTAAGAATATCCACTACCCCATATCCTCCCGTGGGTGTCGTAAAAGGCGACAAAGGGAAACAGGCAGGAGATGGGCAGCAGCATCTTCCTGATAGTAGCCAAAATAACAATAAAAAAAACTGCGGTTGCCAACCCGCTCGCCAAGCGTGGCAACTATGGCAATATACCCCCCATGAGCAATGACAATAATAAACGGCCCCCAGTCCCCGGCGGCCCCGCTATTCCTGGCTACGGTGGCGACCATGGTAACGGCGGGGCAGGGGGTGCTAAGAATCTCCGGTGGAGGTTCGGTTGCCACCTACGACGACTCGACCTGGCAACATACAACGCACGCACCCTGAGGACTGACGAGAAGATTGGGAGCTGGAAGAAGAGATAGACAAGTTACGCTGGCATATTATAGGATTATCCGAAGTCCGAAGAGAGGGGGAGGACACGGTAATCCTCGAATCCGGCAACTTGCTCTATTACCGGGAGGGCGACCATCTGTCCCAAGGAGGTGTCGGATTTATCGTCCACAAGTCTCTCGTTAACAACGTTGTAAAGATTGAGAGTGTGTCGACGAGGGTTGCGTACCTTATACTCAGAATCACCAAACGGTATTCGCTGAAGGTCATACAGGTTTACGCACCAACCTCGGCACACCCCGATCAGGAGGTGGAGGAAATGTATGAGGATATCTCTAGAGCCATGCATTCCTCCAAAACCCAATATACGGTGTTAATGGGAGACTTCAATGCAAAACTAGGCACAAGAGAGAACGGTGAGCTGAAAGTAGGGAAATTTGGAATAGGGCAACGGAACCCAAGGGGCCAGCAGCTGGCCGACTTCATGGAGAAAGAGGGACTCTTTATGATGAACTCTTTCTTCCAGAAGCGGCCCCACAGGAAGTGTACCTGGTCGAGCCCCGACGGTTCGAGAAAAAATGAGATTGACTTCATTATGACGACCAGACGACAACTGTTCAGTGATGTCTCAGTGATCGCGAGGGTGAAAACCGGCAGCGATCACCGAATGGTTAGAGGCACACTGAACCTAAACGTTAAGTTGGAGAGGTCTCGTCTAATGAAGTCAACGCTCCGTCCCCCTCGTGCTCTAATCCAAAGTCCCGAAACCTTTCAGCTCGAGTTACAAAACCGTTTTCAGTGCCTAGAAGACTGCAATGAAGTGGACGATTTGAATGACAAGCTCATGGAAACTGTCCATGCGGTCGGAGCTAAGTTCTGCAAGACCCGCCGCAGAAGAACACAAAAACTCTCCGATCACACTCTTAATCTCATGGCTGTTAGACGGGAGATGAAGCTACATTCTTCAACAGATTTAACAGCATACAGGCAACTGAACAGACAGATCTCCAAATGCATGCGGCGGGACTTACGCAAATTCAATACAGCTCGTATTGAAGAAGCGATCGAGCGGAACCGAGGCTCCAAAGTCTTTGCCAGAGATCTGTCTGCCAGAAAGCGCCAACTGTCAAAGCTGAAGACAGAATGTGGCAGCATCGTTTCCGGGGCACCTGAGATTTTGAGTGAGATTGAGAGGTTCTATGGGCAGCTGTACACGTCATCGTTGGAGCCGCACGCAAGTGTGAGTAACGATCCAAGAGCGAGTCTTATCCGACATTATTCCGATGATATCCCGGACGTCAGTCTGAGCGAGATTAGAATGGCTCTCCAGCACCTTAAAAACGGCAAGGCCCCAGGCGAGGATGGAATTACAGCGGAGCTTCTGAAAGCGGGTGGAAAACCGGTACTTGAAGTCCTTCAGAAGCTCTTTAATTCCGTCCTCCATGGTGGCATTACACCGGAGGCGTGGAGCAGAAGTGCGGTGGTATTGTTCTTCAAGAAAGGCGACAACGCTCTCTTGAAGAACTACAGACCGATTTCCCTTCTGAGCCGCGTCTACGTGCTGTTTTCGAGAGTCATTACGAATCGTCTCGCGCGCAGACTTGACGACATCCAGCCTCCCGAACAAGCCGGTTTCCGAAAAGGCTTTAGCACCATAGACCACATACATACCCTTCGGCAAATTGTACAGAAGTCCGAGGAGTACAATTTGCCACTATGTCTGGCGTATGTGGACTATGAGAAAGCCTTTGATTCCGTCGAAATTTGGGCAGTGCTGCAGTCCCTTCAGCGATACCAAGTTGACTGTCGGTATATCGAAGTGTTGAAGTGCTTGTACAGTAGGGCTACGATGGCTATCCGAGTACAGAACCAGAGTACGAAACCTATCCAATTGCAGAGAGGTGTAAGACAGGGTGACGTCATATCCCCGAAACTCTTTACCGCTGCATTGGAAGATGTTTTCAAGCTTCTGGACTGGAAAGGATACGGTATCAACATCAATGGCGAGTACATCACTCACCTTCGATTTGCCGACGATATAGTCCTTATGGCAGAATCGCTGGAGGACCTAAGCACTATGCTCAATGACCTCAATAGTGTTTCCCAACGGATAGGTCTTAAGATGAACATGGACAAAACAAAGATCATTTTTAATGTCCATGTCACACCTATGCCGGTAGTTGTTGGGAACACTGGGCTCAAAGTTGTTGACGAGTATGTTTACCTGGGACAAATAGTCCGACTAGGTAAGTCCAACTTCGACCGAGAGGTTAATCGACGGATTCAACTCGGTTGGGCAGCGTTCGGGAAATTACGGCACATCTTCTCGTCAGGTATACCTCAAAACTTGAAAACGAGACTGTACACCCAGTGCGTGTTGCCAGTGATGACATACGGAACTGAGACGTGGTCCTTCACTGCTGGCCGGATGAGGAAGCTCAAGGTCGCTCAGCGAGCTATGGAGAGGGCTATGCTCGGAGTTTCTCTGCGTGATAAACTCAGAAATGAGGATATCCGCAGTAGAACTAGAGTGACCGACATAGCCCAACGGATTAGTAAGCTGAAGTGGCAATGGGCCGGCCATATAGCTCGAAGAACCGACAACCGATGGGGAAGAAAGGTTCTCGAGTGGCAGCCTCGTATCGGCAGGCGAAGTGTAGGGCGTCCCCCCACTAGATGGAGTGACGACCTGGTAAGATATGCAGAAAGTCGATGGATGCAGGTGGCTCAGGACCGTGCTTTGTGGCATTCTTTGGGGGAGGCCTATGTTCAGCAGTGGACTTGTGAAGGGCTGTAATGATGATGATGATGTGTTGATACTCAGTGTTGTCTAATGTTGCCAACTTGTTATACCACCAGTTATAGTGGATTTTCCACTATAACTGGTGGTTTCGACTTACATGGTCATTTTTGTATTTTTATAATTTTTAATTCATTCGTAATTAATTATACATAATTTGAATTTTTTTGCATCGATTATCAATATGTATTCTTAACGATAAATTATTTAAATACTGAACTAACCAAAAATAGTTAAATTTAATTCAATAACCCAATTTTTATTGATAATTAAATACCCGATTATTTAATTATCAATAAAAATACTTACCTCAAACATACAACAAGTCTTTTTTCTGGTTCAATTGGCTTTCTAAATCTTGAGTTTTCCATAGAAAGATATGGTTTTAGTATATGTAGCAATTCTTGAAATTTCTTGTATGTTAAATGCAAATATTTAAAAAAATCGTTCATCATCATCTAATAAATCTTTAAATAAAGTATATGCCCTTCATATTCTCCATAAAATTGCCTTTTTAAATTAATATTATGAATCCAGAAGCTTCTTTTTCTTCGAATTTTATTTTCTTCTTCCTCTGCCAATAAGCAGGCTGTTACTATATTTCTTTCCATTGTGATTTCGAGCGATCAATTTCACTGTACCGTTTCACACCAGTGGTTGGTAAAGCTACAAAAGTTGTTGGTAATACAAAAGACGGCGCGAACGACGCGTACGGTCAAATGTGTGAGGCCATCAGCAAAACTCGGCGCGTACGGAGCGTAGGATGCGTACAGTGCGGACAAATGTGCGTCAAGCTTTATACTACGTATAGCAGTAAAAAAATGACTACTATCTATAGTTTCTAAAAATAAGTATAGCATCGAAATCAGTGCCGGGAGCCCGACGAGCGGCATGCAGGCGAGCAGGTGAAGTAGCACAAAGGCGCGGGTCCAATGCTGGATCGCGATATAATATTTTACCACCACCACGGCCCACTACGACCACGTAGTGACCACGGTATGCACCGCCAAAAGCGCGTCTGAAATTGTATTATTAAATGTGATTAAAGTAAGATAAGAGCTCGTATTCCATGCGACAGTAAGTAATTGCATCATATGTGTACCAGCATCCTAAAAACAAGCTGCAACTCCGAACAAAGGTTATACGTTTGATGTCAGTGACACTTTTGATGACTAGGATGGAATGTCTCACAGCCTGCAATATTCGTACCTACACTTCAACCCAGAACATTTAGTGCTTGGTGCCAGAAACTGATAGAAGTGTTATTAGTTGGACCCCTACCCTACCCCTAGTCCATAAAGAGCCCTTTTACTACCTATTGTATATAAAATATTCAATTTTTAAACTTTCACTCAAACTCTTTTTATCGCTTGTAAGAAATGAGGGGTCTGTCAGACGAAGAGAAGTCTCACAGACAGAGCAGCATTTCCAGTATAATTCCTATAATGTTGTCTACCCACCAACCCAATGGGTTAAATATGGTCAAATCTGTCAAACACAGTCTGTTTTAACAGTGGTAGAGCCACGCGGCAGCTTTTGCTGTCGCACGGATGGGCCGGCTCGAACCGGGGTAGTACCACGACCTCACAGAAAACCAGCGTGAAGTAGAGGTTTACCTCTGCGTTTAGCTTGGTGAGTGCAGGTGGCCGGAGGCCCTTTTTACTGGAAATGTGGAGACTAAGAAGTCCTCACGCGTGACAACGCATCTACATTTTGATTTGTAACAGAGGATAGATGTAGATGTCTATGGGCCGCAGCAACCACTTACCATCAGGTGGACTGTGTGCTCGTTTGTCACCCTAATCCAATAAAAAAACACGCCTTTGGTTGCTGCAATTTGGAAATGAATCAATACTTTTAAGCTCTAGCATAAAATAAAATTTAGAAAAATTTATAGCCCAAGAAAATCTGCAGGATCAGAGGAATTGCAGTTGCATTGCTTTTATGGCAAGAATTGTTTTTATTTTTGACTGTCCTAAGCTTTATTCGTCCAGAAAAATTGCTGGTAACAACAGATTCCACAAAGTGGATATGCAAGGTAGAAAACTCTTGTAGGAAATTGCAGTGGTGAACGGCTAACCATCCACATGGTGTGGATGAAATTCAGAATTTCAGTTAATAAGCTTTAATAAATCTTCAGCATACCTGAACTCTGCTCGTAATTTGTTATGCTTGCACAGATCGCAAGCGAGCAGCGCTGCGTCGATGAGAACGATAGCAGGACCCCGAGTCTCTACATGTAAGAGAATTTCGTCCACAGTTAATTCCTTTTGGTGTACTAAAATTCCGGCATCATCAGCATGTGCAAAACGTCCTTCTACACGTTTGCGCTCCTTGGAGAAAATTATTATGGTTACTTACTCTTTATCACACATATAAAACAGATTTATAAAAAGAAATCCCATATAATATCTAGATGTCCCTCCACAAAGAGTAAAAATCTAATGAAATGCATGCTAAACATTAAATTTTTTTTTTAAATTTATTTATTTAAACTTATACAAAAGAAAAATGTTACATATGGCGGACTTAATGCCTTAAGGATTCTCTCCCAGTCAACCATTATGCTAAGCAGTGATAAACATATGGGAGGCAGTGCATGTGTGCGTGTGTGTGTGTGTGTGTGTATATATATATATATCTTCTATACATACATACTTACTTATCTTCACGCACAATCTCTGACGAGGTAGCCAGAGAGAACAGATCGCCAAGTGTCACGATCCTTACATACCTCTTTCGCTTCTTTCAGATTCATTATCTTCTTCATACATGTATGTCTAGGTATCCGAGTACTCTTGACCCTCCCCTCTTCGAGCAATTTGTTCACATGGTCTTCGAAAGTTAGCCTCGGTCTACCTCGACACCTTTTAATATTAACTTTCGCGCTATATATTTTCTTCACCATTCGGTCTTCACTCATTCGCTCAACATGCCCAAACCATCGAAACACGCCCTTGTCAATTTTTGTGATAAGGTCATCTTTCAAACCTGCCATATTGCGAATCTCTTCGTTTCGCTTTCGGTCGGCCATGGTAACGCCGCACATTTTACGAAGAGATCGCATCTCCACTGCATTCAACTTGCTTTTATGCTTCTTCTGGCATACCCAGGTTTCGCTGCCATATAACAAAGTCGGTACCAATACTGCGTTATGTATTGCAAGGCGTGCACTCTTCACTACGCCTTGCCTTTTGACTAACGCAGTCAGGGTACCATTGACTTTGTTCCCGGAAGCAACACGCCTGTCCACAACTAAATCACATCTTCCATCCCAGCTAAAAGCACTCCCCAAGTATACAATTTCATTTACCTGTTCTAGACATTCCTGATTTACCCATATTTCACACTTCGTTCTCTCTTCGTCCCTTTCAAATACCAGAACCTTAGTTTTATTAGCATTCACACGGAGAAATTCACATCTTTCAGCTTCTGTAAACAGCTGTCGAGATTTTTTTTTATAGGATAAGAGTGACAAACGAGCACACAGTCTACCTGATGGTAAGTGGTTGCTGTGGCCCATAGACATCTACATCTATCTTCGATTAAGAATCAAAATGCAGATGCGTTGTCACCCGTGAGGACTAAGATGGAATGCCTCGTTTCCAGTAAAAAGGGTCTCTGGTTCTCTACACTCACCAAACGTAACACAGCAGCGTTAAGCTGCTATTTTACGCTGGTATTCTGTGAGAGCGTGGTCCTTCCCCGGTCGAGCCGACCCATTCGTGCTACAACCATAATATAGTTGCAGCATGGCTCTACCACGTATAGTAACAGATATACAGATAGTATAGATAGAGTATGAACAGCCAGGAAGACATGACACAACCCTGTTTTACGCCCGTTTGGACGCTAAACATGGGTGACAGGTCATGCCTTACCCGCACACAGGCTTTACAGTCACAGTAAAGTGACTACACAGCCCTTAGCAATGGACCATCCACACCATACACCGGCAACAGTTACCACGTTTTCTTCCTTATAACCTTATCAAATGCTTTCTCAAGATCCACAAAAGCACAGAAAATCCTCTGGTTAGCAGCCAGAAGCTTTTCCGTGATCATGCGGAGAGAAATCATTTGATCCGTGCATCCTCTTCCAGGTCTAAATCCGCATTGTGCCTCCCATAGAAATCTTTCCGATTTCTCTTGCATCCTACGTGTCAAAACCTTCGAGTAAACTTTATTTGCTAAACTGGTCAAGCTGAATAGCATCCGCAGTCAAAATGTGAAACTTTACCTTTATATAAAGGCACAATGACTGCGGATCGCCAATCATCCGGGACATCCCCCGTCCGCCAGCACAAATTGCACAGCAGATGAAAGCTGTTCCAGACGCTAGGCCAACCATACTTGACCATTTCAGCAGTAACTCTGTCTAGTCCCGCAGCCTTACCAAATTTCAAACTTCGAATCGCACGTTCAATCTCTTTCTTACTGATGACCTCAGTGTCATCGAGGTCCGTGTCTGGCGTACCAGTCACGGCGTCACCCCCGGATCCCTCACTAAGATCATCACACGCATACATTTCTCTATAAAATTCGCTCCATCGCTGCATGACGTCCGATTTTTCTGAGAGGACGTCATTGGTTCTCGAAAGCACTTTGTTCATTCTTAAGGCCGTCGCACCACTTCGGGTCCTTCCAACCTCTTTCCAGAAGAGTTTGGAATTCTCCTTAAAGTTGTGCGACAACCTTACGTCCGCTTCCATTCTACACCTTTCACGCACCTCCTCAATCAATGCTTTCGTGTAAACTTTCTGCAACTTATATCTTTCTTTCATCTTCTCTCTCATATCCTTATCATTACTAGAGGCCAAGTAGTCTAACCATGCTTTCTTCTTCTCCTTTACAGCTTTCATTTCATCATTCCACCATGCATCTCTTCTTTTACTACTACCTCTTTTTATCGTTCCACACACTTCTTCCGCTGCACTTACCACTCCATCCCTAAGGTTCTGCCATGTTCTTTCCACACATTCTTTTCTGCCATCGATGGTGTTAAACTTTTCGGCTACTCTCGCATGATATTTGTCCCTAGTATCCGCTTCCTGAAGCTTCCAGCTTCGGATGCGACAGACCGACTGTGGTTCTGTTACTGCCGTCCGATAGCGCGTGAACAGACCCCTAAATCTAGTAATCACTAGATAGTGATCCGTTCCCAGGTCAGCACCCCTGAACACTCGCGTATCCATCACCTGTTTTCGCAGTCGGTCATCCACCAGGAACAAATCAATCATATTTCTCTCATTCTTTCTTTCTCTAGTATACATATGGATTTTCTTGTGATTAAACATAGTGTTTGTCACAAGAAGACCCTTTTCCTTGCATACAGCCAGTATAAGCTTGCCAGCATCATTAACCCTTTTATCGCCAAACTTTCCAAACACCGACTCGTACCCTGGTCGAGCGGTACCAACCCATCCATTCAAATCACCACATACAACAATTCTTTCGTTTCCCCTAACCAAATCTAGAACTTCTCTTACATTCTCCCAAAACTCCTCCAGCTCAGCCCTGGACGACGAAGCTACCGGCGCATAAACAGCCAAAAGGAATAACTTCGTCAGTCCCAATTTAAAGCGAACCCAGAGAAGTCTTGAGTTCACAACCTTATATTCAGTCATAACATCGACCAACCGAGACGACAGCAGCACCCCCACTCCCTGGCAGGCGCTCTCGCTCTCCAGGACTCCGGACCATAGAGCTAACGCCCCGCCAGGGAGCTCTTCAGTACCACTGCCCTTCCGTTTGGTCTCCGACATACACACGACATCTAATTCTCTTTCTTTCATTATTTCGATCAACTCATTCGTTTTATCTCTCATGCCTCCTCTAACATTCCACGTGCCAACTCTGCACTCTGTCCTTCACCTTCCGCCGTGTCGGGCTGTACGTGACGGGTGGCGGTCCCCATCGCCGCTTTGCGCGCTGCATTCCACACCAACGGGGACGAGCTGGTGTGCGTCGCCTTGGGGAGACGCCCTAACCCACGTTGGCATGGGTGCGCAGCTATATACATTATACATATATATATATATATGATATATGTATAATGTATATATACATACATATATATACATTATACAGATATCATTAAATGTAAATAAATATACAGGTGTACACATACATATATCTGTGCCATGATAAATAAGGAAAATATGTGACGATAGAATCATTCTTTAGGAAAAAGTGTTAATTCACACTTGCAATGCTTTACTAAAATGTTCACGAACTTTGTTTTTCAAAAGAAACTTGTTGGAAGCTTTTTTTTTTAATATCAAGAGGTATTTCGTTCCAGCCTTGTAGGTGTTACAGCGAAAGAGTGGGACACATAACCAGTACGGTATAAAGGTGTTAGCAACTTTAAATTATCCGCAGAAATAATACAGTGAAACGTGTGTTACAATCCTTAATTAATAATCGCAGACCAACAAAGAAAGACAGGGTGCTATGTAAATTTCAAGTGAAAAATTTATGCCAAAACCATGATCAACCTATTGTTAGAGCGTGCAGTTACATACACACATGCATCTTAAATCATTTGCAACCAACAAAATGGTTTAAGATGCATATGAGTCTGTCAAGCTGTTAATTTTTATGAGGTAATAAAAAAAGAAAAAAAATGTGTGTGTAAATAGTTACATCACTTGAAATTTACGCAGCACTACATCTATATTTCTTTGTTAATCTGAGTTAATAATGATGAAGTTTCACAAAATGACAACAATCACAAGTATAAATTAAAAACCATAAGTAATTGGAGTTTACTCCTTAAGAATCATTTCATATTGTTGCGCGCCACTATTAATGTCTTGTACATGGCAACACTAGTTACCACTAGCGCCCTCTAGTATCGAGTAGCAGAACTAGGAGAGTCAAGATCCTTCTAGAATTATCGGGACCGATATGTACTCGAACATTCTAGATGTCTCTATAGTGGAAGGTTCTGGAAACTACCTGAGGCCCTATATAAGGCCGGTATAGACCGCGACCGAGACAGTATTGAATTGGCGATACATGCGAATACTTCGAAGCAAAATAACTGCGAACTAAAGTGATCAGTAGTACAATTATATTTTATTATTAGTGTGGTTTTAAATTGTAATTAGTTACTTTAATTGTCAATTAAATTAAAGTGAATTAAAGTGTCAATTTTGGTAATTCAATCGGCAGCTTTTAATTGTCTCGAATGCTAAGCTCGTAACAATATACAGCACATGGTATGAAAAATAGATGGGTAGCAAAATCAAGTGTTAGCAAAAAGTGAAGCTGTTATGGTTTTCCTCTACACAACATACTCGCGCATCTCACAGTGCGAAATGAGTAATGTAATATGCCATATATTTTTATGTAATATATTTTATCAAATCAATATAAATAAAAATATGGATTCATTTACTTCCTTTGCCAATTGTATATATTTTAAGGCAATCGTTTTCCAGGAGTAAACTCCAATCATGCGTCGGAGCTGACGTGCACAATTTTTATTCTGAAACGTCGGGAATTAAAAATAAATAGAGTTAAATAAGATAAAGGCCGTAAAAGTAGTTTTATTCAATGTGTAGTGTTCGCGTAAATATAAGAAATATTTACAATTTTTATTTTAGGATCTTTTTAAAATAATATCTAAGATTAAATCACTACAGGGGAGTAGCAACTCTCTATAGGTTCTTAAATTTGACATTGTGTCACTACATCAACACTATATTACTATATTATTATTATTATATTAATTTTAACAGAATACTAAAAATATTACTTTAGCTCCCAAAATCATGAAATACATAATAAAAATGAATGAAATATTAAATTATTTTACCTGGTATTCTATTTTATCATAGTTAGCTTGCCTATTATTCACACCTTTTACTGTAGTGTACATGCAGTGTTCAATACTAAATCTGTGCCAATTACGATAGAAAATGTAAAAAAACATTAAATGATAATAAATATACTTATTAAAAAGCAAACTTACGTTTCTTTCCAGTTAGTTATACAGGGTTATTTTTCAATAACCAGCCAAATTTGTAGATAAGGTTCACAATAAGTAATATAGGCAAATGGTGAAAAGAAAAAATCTCAAACATTCTGTAATTTTTATCCTTTAAATTCAGAATGTGTGGCAATGCATTATTTTAACTGATTCTACTGCACATATAGACATTCATAAAGGTCGATTGATAGGCAAAAACGTTGTTGCCCATAAATCACTTTCAACTTGGGATAATTTCAAAAAGCCTTATTTAACTCATATTTTCAAAAAGTGCAATAACGGTATATCATTATTTATATATTTAAACTTAAGTTTAAAAATTGGCTACCCTTTGAAAAATAACCCTGTATAGTTAATAGAAAACTCATGCAAATTGTTATTAAGCAAACAATCCTTTAGTGTCAAGTTTATGGTTCAAGCATTATAAAAATCAAATTATTTGTTGGCATATTGTTGGACATAGATACCTTTTCAATAAATAACAAAGATCTATTGTCCACGTTGACTGTTGTAATCCTTCATCCTGGCATATTTTGATAAAGTTCTTTTGCATAAAGTCCCTCTGTTCTGCAGACAGCACCATGATAACACTGGCAATTCCACAATCCCAATTGTAACACTGTTGGTAGTGGCATAATTTATGCTCCACATACTTTGGTTGTTCTAAATATGCTGGGAATAATATAACCATAGCCAAAAGTTTAAATGTAGTAAAAAAGACAGAACTTATCATTTAATAAGATTTTTTCTTACTAGAACTTCCTCATAAAACATTCATTAAAATATTACCTAATAAATAAATATAACATTGATTAAAATTGCAAAAAAATATGGGAAGATAGGGGTGGGCATTGCGACAACAAACCGTTTACAAAGACCGTTTTGTGTTCTGCGACGATGAACCGTTTTACATCCTGGGTTCAAACAGTTGTTGCACAAACCAGTCTTTGAATTACTTAGTGCAATTTTTTATTTTACGTCTATGTAAAGTCGAGAACACAATGTTACTTAGTGTAATTTTTTATTTTACGCCTATGAATAGTCGAGAACACAATGATTCAACAGCTTTCTACGGTCCTTAACGTTCCACGTTGTATTGTATTCTTTGGTTCCACATTCGTTTACAAACATAGAGACAAAATGGTCCTTATAATAAAAAGTGAACTTTTTGTCAATGAAATACAGTCGCTAATGTATTACTAGTTGTCAATGTGTTTTCATTTGTCAATGTTGTTGTTGACATAGTTTAAAGTTGACATGTATGAACAATGAATTGAGATAATCGATAAGTATGAAAGGAAGTTCATTTCATTGTTTAGTAAAGTTGATCGATAAAATTATTTATTTACTAGTTGTAAGAAATTGCAACCATTTCACTTGATGAAAACGCAATTAATTCCATGTCAGATAAGTTTCGTCTTTTAAGCTATCTTCAAATCAGTTGCAACGATGACTGTTTGACTACTGCAACCGTTTTCGTCGTCGGGAAAACGGTTGCGTTTCGTCCATCAAAAATTCGACAATGACCCACCACTAGAAGATAGTGTCTTTCACATACAAGGTTCTAGTAGACTGATGCCATAAAATAATACAAGGGAAGAAAGACTGGATTGAGATTAAATTATTTCGATTACCATTATTGTTATGAATAGATAAGAATTGAATTTGGCTCCATTTAATTGCTTTTTTTAATATTGCAAATTATATGGAATAAACAAACATATACAACCTTTTAACAGGCCTTTAACTAGGTAGTCTTATTTATTACTATAACTGTTAAATTTACAGTTATCTTCTGATGGTGTGTTGTATAGGATTTGTTATATAATTTATAACTTCTTTTATTCTAAGCTTACATTCAAAGTGTAATGATGGTGGGTGTACCAATATCCACTACCCCATATCTTAACGTGGGTGTTATAAGAGATGACAGAGGGAAATCAAAAGTAGAGATGAGCTGCAGCAATTAAGGATAAGGTTATCAGAGCATTTTAAGTGAAATTAATAGATATTCAATTATTATTTTTAATGTTTTCCCATACCACACATAGTTTAAAATAATAACATAAAACTGAATTAAAAGTAGTATAAGCCTACTAAATTGCTGGTAAAAGCTAGTTTGTAACAGTTGAAGTCAACAAATATATAGTATACAGCAACTAAGTTGGCAAGGTTTTCGCAAAGTGGGGGAAAGTTTGTGCATGTACAACGGGACATACCAATCGTGCACTCGGAAGTCGAATGGCCAACAAATCAAACACTCAGAAGTCGACTGGCCAACCAATCGCGTGCTCGGAACGATGCTACTTCGTTCCCGCACCCCGCTGCTAAGCAAAGAGATCTAAAAAACGACTTCTGCGCATATAACAAATCTTGCCAAGTTAGACGCCAGCAACTATACTACTCTCAAATATAGAAATGTAACAAGCTTTTTATCTGTCAAAGATATAACTAAACCAATTTAATGTGGTCAGAAAAACACATGAAATTAGTTTAATTATCTTTCAGTATTGCTGGATGCGACTCTTTTAAGAAGTTACTTCTGGCTTTAGAAAAATGTTGTAAATAATGCATTTTCTAGTATGGTACCATAATTTTATATTATATAAATACATATAATACATACTACCTATTAAGCTTTATTGTAATAATATTAAAAGTACACTTACGTTTAACTTTACGTGACATCTAGAAAAGTTTATTATAAAGTATATATTTGAGAATATCAGAATTCACTATATAAATTTATATCTGTCATTTTATATAAGTCCATATCCATCATATACAAGTGATTGATTTGATTTAATTTTATTCATTCTTCTTTATTTTGCAAATTTTTAACATGCTAATTTTGTATACAATTATAAATTTTGGTCTTTACCTGGCATTGACTTATTCTGTGATATTACTAGCGTAGTTTTTGAAATTATTGATAACTGGATTATAAATCAGCTCTTTGTTTTAAGTTGATTTAATTAATATTACTTTTGACCTACTATTCTCACCTACTTCAATAATTATTCATCTAGAAACGATTACAAAATCAAAATTAGAAATGAAATTTTAATTTCTAATTTTCTGAAAAATCACAATATTTTTTATTGTTGTTGTTGTTTTTATTATTCGCTTGAGAGAGCAACAAAGGAACAATGCCATACAGCCTTGTCTTCATGTATAATTTTATCCTTCATATTTCACTGCTTCACAATATCGTCGTTGCGCGTGCAAAACCGCGGAAGAGCAGTTTGTAAATACCGCGTATCTACATTTTTAGAATTTTACAGGAAGAAGAAAAAACTTAATAACTTGGTAATTTATAATTATATTACCGACTGAACTTTATAGCAGCTTCTTTGTTACTTATTTTATAGAAATTTAACGTAAATGTACTAGAAACTTGTTTAGATTTCGTGTAAAGTCACTTACGCGGTTTTGTACCAGCAAATTACATTTAAATACTATACTTTTAGGAGATACGCGGGCTTAAAATAAAATACATAATATTATATTATTAATTTGAATTTATTATGATATATTATAGTAGAAAAAAACATACAAAATTATACATCTTCTTAGAAAAAAAAAACAATAACTCTTACTCTAGATATCAATTTAATCACACACTCCCTGAATTTCTCTAATTACAATAAAACAATTACGTTCACTTAATTAAGAATAATAAACTAATCAGCCTCCTCGATCTTCTAAAATCCCAGCATTTCAATCTTTGTTAATTAGTTTCTTGGACGAATACGATTTTTTTTTATTAAAAGCTTTAACAATTAAATATGGCAATCATTACACCTGGATGCTCTTATATTCTTATTATCTTAGACGTAGAAGTACTTCTATTATCTTAGTTCTTAAATTCTCATTAAAACGATTAATAATCACAGCATTTAAGATCTTGGTTATTAGGAATATTATTTAAAAGGTAAATTATCGTAAAAACTATGACAGTCTTTAGGTATGACACTCTTCAATTCCTGTAGGTGATCATACTTTGTTTTGGATATTGGTTGTCTGGATTCATACAATGGACCTACGCAATCAATTAAAGAGTCAGATAATATCTTTTTTGGTCTCCTAGGTAAAGGAACAAAATCGTCTACAAAGTGGAGTTTAAAATCAATTGTCCCACTAGGACTGTATCTTAGGGCCCTTATGTCCATGACGACACGATCACCCGCCCCACGACCAGGTCTTATTGAATCATAAATGAGGTGATCTTTATGAGCAAAGTTTTTAAAAAATGTATGATCAGGAGTAATAACCTGGTAAGGACTCGGCACTTTTCTGGCCTCCTTCGTGATTGTTGCGTATTGTGAGGGTAGAAATATTTCTCGATTTTTCAATTTTCTTTCGATCACCGAGTGCACCGAATCGACTTCCATCTGAGTGTGGCCCTTTTCCAAGTATTTTTGAGTTATAACTATGTTCTTGGCCATGGCCAAACGCAACAACGCATTCGACACAATATTATTTCTATTCTGGGCTGTGCAGCCATCTGTGAACAATACTACATCCTTTGGATCATTTTCCAGTAATTTAGTTAAATAATCTACAAGAAATGATGCGTATGTAGTAGCTTTTAAGTCGCATGCCGTCTCGTCGAACCAGTAACACGCGACTCCATTAATTCCCAGGTTGTAAATTGTAAAGTTGTGGACGGCAAGTTTTGTCTTAAAATATAGTGCACTGGCGTTGAGTGAAGGACACAATTTGACTGCTTGAAGATCTGCTGTTAATGCATGTGTCGTCCCTTTCCGTGCTGCTTCTTTGTCAAGGGTTTTTTCAATTCTAGCTAAGTCTTTTAGCTCAATATGTTTTATATACTGCTCATCTGACATGTTACCTGCTTTGTGAGCGCAGCACTGGTCGCATGCGTCTTTCTTTGGTTGAAATAGACTGATGTTCTCTTCGAATAAAACCCCTTCAAATACCTTCCTAGAGGCCACAGGTTCATTTCGCGAAACTGAGTAGTCTACATATAGACGATACAATTGTGATTTTGTTTGTATGATGGGTTCTAAATAAAGCTTTGAAGTAGATTGTCTACAGTAATGAGACGGTAGTTTCGGTAGCGCCATCAAGTATTTTCTGGCTGATTCTTTTTTTGTTTCTGTGGCTACTACAGCACTTGGTTCAGATTCATTGTCGATAGTCGTCTTCTCTCCTAGCCAATATCGAACTGTCCATTCTTTTATGCCCAATGTTTCCAAAAATGTTTTTAAGCAAACTCTTTCCTTTTTATCGTTTACTTTTAAATAGTAAACTTTGGTGTCACTGCGCCTTGAATTTGAGTTCTTAGTTTTTCTAGTTGTAGGTGTCTTATCCACCATTGAAGCTATATACATTTTCTTTTCATGCCAACTCATTTTCCAATAGGTTTTAAAAATTTCTGACCGCACTTCTTCTGTTAGCTTTGGGCAATACATAGCTTTACCACTGAAACATCTCTTCGACATACATATTGGACCCATTATTCTGGCGGGTTTAGGATCATTTTGAACGAATTTAGTGCCATCTTTTTTAAATCCAATGTATTCCTCGCCCATCATCCTTTGCCGCTTATTTATTATTCTTTTCCAGTTATTAGGATTCCCTTTCCGCTTTCTTCCATTTTTCTTCGCCGTATTTTCTATTTCCCTTTCGGGAAACCACTCCGTATTTGCTGGTGATAGTGGCTTT